AAAGCAACATTTTCTTTGAGAAACAATGAGGGTCCAATTCCTTGTTCTAGGAATTGCACTCCTGTGCACTATAATTCCTGGTTCATCTTCTTCTGTTAGCGATGTTGATGTCCTACTCTCGCTGAAGCAAGGATTTGAATCCCCTGAACCAGCTTTAAGCACTTGGAGTTCTTCAAACTCGAGCTCAGTTTGCTTGTGGTCCGGGATTAGATGCTCAAGGGGGCGCGTGGTTTCGCTCGAGCTGACGGATTTGAATTTGGGCGGCTCCGTCTCTCCTCTTGTTTCAAGATTCAATAGCCTTGTCGAGCTCTCGCTCGCTGGGAACAATTTCAGTGGCACGATCGAGATCGCCAACTTGACTAGTTTGAAGTTCCTGAACATCTCCAACAACCAGTTCAGTGGGAACTTGGACTGGAACTTCTCTAGTATTGCGAATTTGAAAGTGTTCGATGCATATAATAACAACTTCACGGGTTTATTGCCAACGGGTGTTCTTGACTTGAAGAAAATCAGGTATCTGAGCCTCGGAGGCAACTACTTTCAGGGAAAAATCCCAGAAAGTTACGGGGAATTAGTGGTTCTGGAGTACTTGTCACTCGCGGGGAATGGGCTGAATGGAAAAATACCGAGCGAGTTGGGAAATTTGACAGAGCTCAGAGAGATTTACTTGGGCTACTACAATGTCTTTGAAGGAGGCATTCCTAGAGAATTTGGCAATCTGATAAATCTTGTTCACATGGATCTTTCCTCGTGTGAATTGGACGGCATGTTACCACCTGAGTTGGGGAATTTGAAGAAGCTATACACATTGTATCTACAATTCAATCTTCTCTCGGGTCTGATCCCGAAGCAAGTTGGCAACTTGACAAGCTTGGTGAATCTTGATCTCTCTTTCAATTCACTCACCGGAGAGATACCATCGGAGGTTGCGAGTCTCCGGAAGCTGAAACTTGTTAACCTCTTCTTGAACAAGCTACATGGGTCGATTCCTGAGTTCCTTGCGGACCTTCCGAACCTGGAAACTCTAAGCCTATGGACAAACAACTTCACTGGTGTGATTCCTGAGAATCTTGGCAGGAATGGGAAGCTTCAGGATCTCGATTTGTCCACCAACAAGCTCACTGGCACGATCCCTCGAGATTTGTGCTCACATAACCGGCTCAGGATCTTAATCCTGTTTGACAATTTCCTCTTTGGGCCGATCCCGGAAGCTCTAGGCTCATGCTCTAGCCTAGTTAAGGTGAGATTGGGGCAGAACTACTTGAATGGAAGCATTCCGAATGGCTTCATTTACTTGCCTCGGCTCAAACTCATGGAATTGCAGAACAACTACCTGTCAGGAGTTTTGCCAGAGAATGGCGACAGGTCGTCGAAGCCTGAGATGTTAAACGAGCTCAATTTATTGAACAATCTCCTTTCGGGTCCTCTTCCGTCTTCACTCTCGAACTTTTCTAACCTCCAAATCGTACTCATCAGTGGGAATCAATTTTCAGGTCCGCTCCCGGCTTTTATAGGGGGCTTGAGGCAGGTGGTTAAGCTCGACCTGAGGCAGAATTTCTTGTCAGGCGAGATTCCACCGGATATTGGGAACTGTTACCATCTCACGTACCTAGACATCAGCCAGAACAACCTCTCTGGTCCGATCCCGCTCACGATTTCCAAGATTCCTATCCTCAGTTACCTGAACATCTCTAGGAACCACTTAAACCAGAGCATACCCAAAAAGATTGGTACAATGCAGAGCCTCACGATTGCAGACTTCTCTTTCAACTATTTCTCGGGTAAAATACCTGAATCTGGGCAATTTGCCTTGTTCAACGCCTCTTCCTTCGTGGGCAATCCAGGGCTTTGTGGTTCTATCCTAGACATCAGATGCAATCTCACCACATTCACAAGCACATCCGCCAGAAGTCATTTCAATTTCAAGTTAATGTTCGCGGTCGGCCTATTGATATGCTCCCTAGCTTTCACCACGGTGGCCATAATCAAAGCCAGGTCTTTTAAAAGAAAGGCTGGCGCCGGTTCGTGGAAGATGACGACATTTCAGAAGCTCGAGTTCTCGGTGCAAGACGTCCTGGAATGCGTCAAAGACGGCAATGAGATAGGGAGAGGTGGAGCCGGGATCGTCTACCACGGAAAAATGCCAAACGGCACTGAGATCGCCGTCAAGAAACTCCTAGGATTTGGCACGACTAGCCATGACCGTGGCTTCCGAGCAGAAATCCAAACGCTCGGCAACATCCGGCATAGGAACATCGTGAGGCTCCTGGCATTCTGCTCGAACAAAGAAACCAATCTCCTCGTCTACGAGTACATGAAAAATGGGAGCCTAGGTGAGACGCTGCACGGGAAGAAAGGCGCGTTCCTAGGATGGAGCTTGAGGTACAAGATCGCGGTCGAAGCCGCAAAAGGCTTGTGCTACCTGCACCATGACTGCTGCCCACTGATCCTTCACCGAGACGTGAAGTCGAACAACATCCTGCTGAACTCCAGCTATGAGGCGCATGTCGCCGATTTCGGGCTGGCCAAGTTCTTGGCGGACAGTGGAGGGTCGGAGTGCATGTCAGCGATCGCGGGGTCCTACGGCTACATTGCCCCTGGTATGCCACGCTTAAAATCTTTCATTATCATTCGTTGATTGGCAATTCACTAGAGTATTCATTTTTACGGATCAACCACATTGACACTATCAGAACAATTCTCTGACCCAAAGTCTCTGCATAGTTAAAGTCTTGAGTTCTGAAATCTACGCAACATTTCTGATATGTTTGACCCGAAGAAGAGAGGAAATGGAAATTGTCACTCAACAACACAGTCACTCAAAATCTTTAGTCAATGGTAGTACTTAGAGCGGGATCCATGGTCCAGTCAAATTCATGTAAATCGGAATCTAAGTGCGTCAACTTAGGTACCTGATGTATCATTAACGTTAAACAGAGCATTGAGTGCAGTGAGAGCAAACAGACATGCGCATTGCGCAATCCAACTCAATCCTTTAAAAAAGAACAATAATTTATGATTTTGGCTCCTTTTGCTTTTCTCTTCTTTATTTTTCCCTTTTTTTTTGGCTTTTGTCTTGAATTAATTGACTCCCTTTTGCTTTATTGCTATGTGGGGTGTGGTTTCTTTAACTATAATCATACAGTTCACGACAAAAGATCAAGAAACATCAATGCGTGCCAATTCATGTTGATTCACTTCGGCAAGACTAGCAAAAAGCTTATCCAAAGTGGCCGTTTTCCATCTACTTAGACCCACCCAAATGGAGTGGAACTTTGACAACGTGCCTATTTGACATGATTATCATCATTCGTAGCGTTGAAAGCTTCGAAGAAAACACAGCACAACACAAAATAACATTAAAATCGTCCCCACCAATGTTTCAAGGTCACTGACTGAACGTATTTCATAACGGAAAAATCCGTTCTTATTGCAGAGTACGCATACACCTTGCGGGTGGACGAGAAGAGCGACGTGTACAGCTTCGGGGTCGTGCTCCTGGAGCTCCTGACGGGGCGGCGGCCCGTGGGCGACTTCGGGGACGGGGTGGACATCGTCCAGTGGACGAAGATAGCCACCGCCAACTGGCGGAGAGAGGAGGCAACCCGCGTGGTGGACCCACGGCTGAGCCTCGTGCCGAAGGACGAGGCTGTGCACGTCTTCTTCGTCGCCACGCTGTGTGTCCAAGAGAACAGCACCGAGCGTCCCACGATGAGGGAGGTGGTACAAATGCTATCGGAGTTCCCTCGTCACCCGCCGCAAGATCACTCCACCTCCTCTTCTTCCTCTACTTCTTCTTCTTCGGCCTTTGCCAAGAACTTCAAGAGCTAAAAAAGAATCTGTTCATCTAATTTAGAGGGTGAATGTGGGATTTTTGTATGACCAAGTGTGTGAGCTCTCAACATTATGAGTAACAACATTATGAGTAACAAGATCAAGTCTTCGTTTCTTTAATATAAGCTAAAGCGCTCTTTCTTTCCGCAGCTGTCAAGAGAAACCACAGGCAAAGCAAAAGGTGCGCTCAAGACTCATCGCATCACTCGCAAAGTAAACAAAGAAGAGATTTTCTTTCGACCAAAAGAAGAAAACAAAGAAGAGATCAGAGATCAGAGATCAGAGCAGATCTAGGAACATTCAGAGCAAACCATATTACTCTGCACTAATCCACCTTAATCCCCTCTTTCGAACCGAGTCTGGCAATTGCAATGACCAAAGTGACAGAAGCTACACATAGACATTGTCCTCCAAATCAGAATGTGGTCAAAGAGTGCCATCAAATGGCAGCCAACACATACACCAAGTCATCAGATCGAACCCCAGGAGAACACCATTTAGAATCATTCATCATCTATGCAATTTTAGCAGAGATGGGAAGAGCAGAGTCATGGATAAAATCTCCGAGGATGAGCTCCTAAACGAACACCATGAGGAATGTCAATTGTCGGTCCAAAGATATGTGGACCGACCATCGTCACTTTGATCACAAGGGGCCAAAAGCTCTAGGGACTATATCGAAAACTTCCCTCGATCATATGGAACTTTTATCCACTCGTAAGGAATTTATCTTTCTAATTTACACCCGGGCATTGCAAGATTATACCAAATATTTCATCATAGTGCGCATATAGCGTTGGTCAATCTATAAAAGGTATAAGATAACGGCAATAATTATAAATAAAATCGTTTATTCTATCCTGCAAAGTCCTAAAAATTGTAATTAAAGTGCAATCGAGCTCTTCAAACTTAAGTGATAGCTTTTTTTTTAATTTCGTGCAAATGGGTAATTCTGTTAAGCCCGTCTAATTTGAGTGACAAGCAACGTTGCATTTTCTCGTATTTTCTTTATGCCTTAAAAATACTCTTCAAGGGCTAAATTGGGGGAAAAAAATCTATACGGGGTCTAAAATTTAGAAGAGGCGCCTCTCTTATTCTCAAATCAGCCCCCAAAAAACAAGAAAGATTGGATAAATTGGTCCCTCATCTTCAAGTGAGGAGCAGAGGATCGCCATGTCCAATCTTCCTTTCAAGATGACAAGGAGGCGTGGGGCGTTGATGAGGCAGATCGTATGTTTCGATCCTCGGAGGGCGAGCTTGTCGGATGTTTTGGCTGCTTGGGGTGAGGATGATGAAGCCCGGTTAAAGCCGATTGGCTTGCGGTTCTGAAAGAATTGAAGAAGCTGAACCATCCTGCTCATCTTGAGGTACATAGAGTACCTCAAGTCGCACATATTCGAGATTCGCAGATATTTTCTTGTTCCTCTTGCGATGAATGAGCGAGATTCGGAGCGACCGAGGAAGAAGAACCAAGATGGTCGTATTTGGGCTCTCTCAAGTCGCAGATATTCGACAGGGAAGAGAGGAAGCAGTATGATCTCCCACTACTTTCTGCCTCCTCCAACGTTGGGTTTTCGTCCTCGTGCTCATGCACTTCTTATGTGCTATCTCGTTTCGTTTTTCTTTATTATCTTTTCCAGGCAATACCAAGCTCGCACCAGAGGTCTCAATGCGTACGACCGGCACAGGAAGTTGGTTGATGATTTACGGTGCGTGTGGCTTCTTTCTTGTCTCGCATCTCCCCTCTGATAGAATGGGAATTCCGCTTTTGTCTGTGGGTTGCTGAAATTTGCTGGGTAATGTCGTGTCCGCGGAAGTTCTCTGTGTACTAAGCTAGTTACAGCTCAAGTTTCAGTTCGTGGTGGGATTGGGTTAGCCGTATGCTTTGCTCTGGAGTTGGGACTACATGAAACGATGCACATTGAGAGCTATTGATGTGTGGTATCCCCGTGGTCCTATATGAATAGGATGATGAACAGTCCCCTCCAATTAGAAGGATGGGGACTACTACAGTCATCCTCGTAGCCTCGTCTTCGATGTCGATGGAATTCCGACTGGCCTTCTATCCTTATTATCTACGATAATTATTTGTGAGGATTTAGTTGAGTGGTACTTAGTTGTCTGCTGAAGTTGGATGTCAACAAAGAGTGCAAATATCGAGCTCCTTATTTGTAGGTTCATGGTGTCCTACAGTAAAATGGATGAAGAATGGTCCTTTTTTGTGAAGGAGAAGGTGTCTACACTTATCCTCATATATTAATTCTTTTGGGTAGAGTTCATCTTAGGTTCTTATTTTCAGCAATGTTAATTCTTATGGTGATACGGGTGTTCGCCATATTCGAGCATTCCAATTTGTGGAGGTATGCTTGATATTTCTTCGTAGGCAAAGTCCCAGCTTACCATCTTACGGGGTTTTGCAGTTACTTTCTATGGCAAAGAAAGATCGGCACAAGCTAATTTGCCAGTAAAAACTGATCAAGATACTTTACGATAAGGCTACGGATATTTTCATCTTGTGTCCCTATACGTTTTATAGCAATTTGTATATGCAATATTTCTATTTTGAGCCAGAGAGCGCTAGCTATGCTTATTTCGTTTTGAAGCACTAATTATACCTTTATTGAGGACTATAACTTAAGAGAGAGGGCATATGATCAAAGCGAAACGCATCAATGTTGGCAGGCGTTCCATCTTTATAAAAATTCATCCATGACTCATGGTTCTTAAATTTCGTTTTCCTCATCAGTGAATCAGAGGCTACATAGAACGTACCACTGCCGATGACTTTTACTGTATAAGTAAACCGTTTTTCTCCTTTCTTTCCTATTTTTTTTGGGGATTTGATGCATACTGATGTTCACAAGCTTATGGTATCATTTGTGCAAGTCTTGTATGATGTTGTTATGCTATGTAGGTTAGATTGAATGAAGCGATGTTTTGAACTGCTACTGGTTCTTCCATTTGGTATCCCTTAACAGTTTGCTATGAATCATGAGCTATTAATTGGGAGTTTGCTCGGTTCATATGTATGGTCTTTTCAACTATCTTTGACATTTCTTCTCTTGCACTTCAGTGTATGCATTTATCGATTTCGGCGCTCTTTATTGTTGAAACCTGATTTTTAGCTCATTTTTTTATATTTTCAAAAATCTCAAAATTAGGACTAGGAATCTTGGCCAAGCCTAGAAACCTACTTCTAAACCAAAAATAATTTTTTTAGCATTTTCCTGCATTTTCCTTTAATTTCTTTTAGTCAAAATAAGTGAGAAAATCAATAAAAATAGCAAATGGAATCAGAAAATTCCATAAAAATATTCATTAGTATTATTTTAACTCCAATTTCATTAATTCATCATCAATTTTGAAAAATTTCAATCGAGTATGGGCTTTTCCCAAAATTGGGCAAAATCAAACCCGAATTGAACCAAAAATGCAATTAAATCTTTTCTAGTCATTTTTAAGTCATAGTGTCTTCACAACAAATGATTCTGGGACCTTGAATTACATAATGGTCGGTCCAATTGCATAATTTGTCAAAGAAATAAGAAAACCCCAAAATTCAATTAAAAATTAGACATTTTGAGTTCAAATTGGAAATCGTGCCCAATATGAAATTGTCGAACCATGAGATCATCATTTTTAGGGTTAATCAGATGTGGGTAATTCAATTTTGGCACCAATTTTTCCTAATCAGGTCATTAGGACATCGAATTGAACAAAACCTCAATAACCCGATTACAAAAAGTTAAAAATCTAGGACATGATCTTGTCGAAAATTGGGGAAAACTACATATTTGGGTTCAAAATGCGGTACGGAATTCAATTTTGGGGTTTAATTTTGAAAATTGGGTCAAAATTGAGCTTAATTTGCGAATTTAGACCAACCCAGGTCTGCCGAGTCGACCGGGTCAACCCAACCCGACCCGGGTCAGTCTTCTTCCTTACCCGACTTACCTAGAGCATTACAAACCCAGAAAAGTCAGCTCATGCCCACAACTTCACCGGCCTTAATCCCACCACAAACACGTGCGAAATACCGATTTAACAGCTGGAGAATCTCCAGCCATCATCGGTTATTCATCATAACCGATTTGGAGGTCGGTTGTAACAAGAATTTGGTGGGAAATCAATGAACAAAAAGAAAAAAAAAACTGATCATTATGAATAGAAGGTGCTTGGTGAAATGCCACAGAGAGAGAGAGAGAGAGAGAGAAAAGAGAGGACGATCGCGAGAAGGAGAGAGAGAGCGAAAGACGTGAGTTGAGGCTCCCTGAACCGAGCGATTGGCGCTTTTCCGGCTGAAAAGCGCCGACGAATCGGTTCAAGTGGTGAACCTCCTCACCTGGTGTAATAGCTATTATAAATTATTTTTTTAAATGCTCAAACATTAGTTAATAGCTAAGATAACAAAGGAATACATACAAGCAAAGTACATAAGAGACCTTGTCCATTAGATTAGACTTATGGATGTGTTTATCAAGGCAAACGGGCCATCGAACGACTACTGAGCAAAACTATAAAACAGTACCTACTCCCTGATTAATCAATACAAAACCTTCTTTAAGAAACCACATACCAAATTAGTGGCATTTATTATTATTATTTTCAAGAACACATGATATTCAAACTTTTGACTTGTCAACCGGCTGATAGCCCTTGTGCTGAAAATTAAAGATTTAGCAATTAATGCTATTCAGCTTGTTAGATAACTCTAATTAGTTTAGACTTAAAAGATTCAATTAAGCTAGAATTTGACTTATCTAATACATAAAAAAAGGGGGTCACCTAATTCATTTAGTAGAAGATGTAATTGGTGATAATTATAATCTTGTCAACTATATGGTTAGGACCTTCCAATCATGGTCGCAAATCTATATTTGGAAAGAAATTATAGATATCTAGTGATTGTCAAACAACTCTTTCTTTCTATTTTAACACTTAAAGATTATTAACACTTAAAGATAAGTTCCTAAGTTCTTAGCATTGATTCCTCAATATTATCGAATAGGCCTAAATGCACATAAATCAATACATTCATGTAGATCGAATAAGGCTCTGAAAGAGTGGTCGGTGTGGCCTCCAATTCGAGATTACTTTGAACTGGAGACGTAATTTCAATTTAAGTCACCACCTTCTAAGTCATTACCTGCACTGCCTTTGAATGAATTTATCTGTGTGGAATGTTCACTTATGCTTCTAAGTCTATCCAAAATTCTCATGTTTCAAAGCATGCTCAAACAAGATTTAGTGAGTTCCAAAATAAAATCGTATGAAAAAGTAAGCAATCTGATACCACATTACTTAAAAGTACAATTGATAAAAGTAACTCCGTCCTTTGCCACAAACCTCTCTTTTCTTAGGGCAATAATGCCAAAGATGAAATTATGGCTTATTCCTTTTTCCTCATTGCTTTGTCCTTTTCCTCAACAATCTGATAAGCACATCATTATTCTTAAAGGCAAGAGTTCAGTGTAAAGTTGTAGGCCAAGACCATACTGATGCATCGACTTTCGCAACTTCTTTAGTTCATCATAGGAGATAGCCTCGATAGAACAGGCCTTTCATTCAAAATGAGTTTTGTCTGAATTTGGAAGCTTATCCTGATGCTGACCGTGACAAAGTGGACCACATTTGCCTTGTATAGCATCGACCACTTTACTGTTCATAAGATGTATTTAGATTGGCCGTTACACAGTTAAATCATTGCACAAGAAACCTGTGCAATGAAGTCCGTAGCAAAATGTGGACAACACTCGTTTTTGGTCTATTGCACCAAAAGTCGGAAGAAATGACCGTTATTGCTTTCTTTAAAGCTAAAGATGTTTCACTGAAGATACGAACATAAGAGCATCATACATTTTTTTCACATGAATTGGAAGAATTAGTTGCAAGCATATGCATATTTTGTGCTCAGAATCTACCATATAGTTTCGTTAGATGTGCATAGATGCAGATTGTAGAGTATCCTTCTTATCTCTACTTCTTTATTACTGCACATGGTAATACACATCGTGCTGATGCAGTTCCATGTTTTTCAGGATATGTTTGCTAGCAATGAAGTCATCAGCTCCATCATTCGTTTGTTGCTGCAGGAGCAAATGCCTGTAAACTGAACTTTGAAATGGCATCTCGTCAGTCTTCTCCTGTTCACAATTGGGCATATGATATGCCAAAATGCAAGTTCCAACCTATTGTGTGATGTTGACGATTATGATTCTCATTGATGTTGCTACTTGCCTGTGGAGTCTCTTGACATTGTGATCCGTGTAGTCTGGGGGTCAATGCATCTGATTTAAGCATATCATCGGAACTCGATGTTAAGGGCGAAGTTAAGGTTTCCACGTCGTTTTTCAAGCATATGAAGTGAAGACATGTCTCCCAAGCACACGCGCCACAGATGTGATTGTGTGCATAATACCATATGAGCCTACATTATGATGCCTGCGTGGCTACAAATTATAGGACTCTAGTCTTTTGTAGATCTAAATGTAACACACATGTTATCGTCAGCATGATTGGTCTAGTAGCCTTCACTTTTAGGTTCTTTTTTGAAGGTGAGGCTCTACAAATAAATCAGAGTTCTAAGGAAAATGTCGTTATCACTATAGTATTTATGATAGTGTTCCACTATATCAATCTATTGTATCTTCAATTTATATCAGTCTTCTAACTCGCGTCTTTCTTTTTAGAATACTTTATTTGAATTGTTTTTCTATCATCTGACAAACTTCTTGTCCTTATGATCAGACAAACTCCTTGATGAAATAGCAGCTAAATATTCTCTAAAAGAGTTCTCGATATTGTCCTAACATACCATAATTTGGAACTGAAAATGTGGCAAACATTTCACAATTTCAGCTCGTAGAATACCAAAGTCAATTTGCATTACGCACCCGTGATTGTCATTGAGAGTAGAGCTAGCTGCTATTTCCGTCATAGTGCGGCCTCTTTCACTTGAATTTGCCTATGCAATGCCACATGCATTAGATTCTCTGGTGTTAGTCATGATTTATAGTATTATACAAAGTGGGGAAAAAAATCTTCTACTTTTAAAGGATTTTAAATAGCCTTGAACACTTATTTTGCAAATATTGATTTTGTGAGCAAATGTGTGAATTATAATTCTCTAATCTCTCACATGTTTTATAATTGTAATCTAATTTTTCCTAGCCTCCTAAAAAAATTCAAATCTCGAAATATTTTTATCCTAAATTCAAACCTTCCAAAAAAATTTATATAAATACGGAAATTTTCTCAAATTTTTCTTTAACTTTCCCCCTTCCTCTTGTCAAACTAGAATTTAGATCACGCCCTCTTTTTTTTTTTTTGTGGGGGGGGAGGAGATTACTTTCAAGCACGCAAAAACAAAGCAAATGGTGGTTTTCAGTCGGTCTTCTTTGCGTTG